AGGCTCACAGTTTCTGGTGTTTCGGTCCATGACTGTAGAGAGTATGTTACAAGACAGCAGATTAACACATGGCAGCCAGGAAGCAGAGAAAGAAAACCTTTGCTCATGGCAAACATTTCTTGGGCTTAGCCCTTACATACTTAAGGAAACACCAACACTAACTCTTGAGCTACTACCACCCTCATTAATACTGCATCTATTAAGACAGCGTTGACAACTCATTCCTTCAATTTCCTTCTCTTTAAAATTGAGAATGTCAGTGACAGTGCCGCTGAAAGGCAGAGGAAGCCGAGAAAAGCCACTTCCTCATATACCACTTGTCCCAATTGTTCTTTGGGGGCACTAGCCTGAAACTGCTCAAGCTTGCAAAACAAATTATGTGCTAAAAGTTCCTGCTGATCCTGGCCATATAAACCCTGCTACCACCAGACTCTGTGCGACCTCTCTGATCCCTACCAGGGAGTTTGCCCGGGAGTGTACCCCAATAAACTTTTCCTTTCTTACCTTTCCCTCTTCCTGCATGTTCTTTCCTCACCTAAAACCTTACAGTCAGCACTGTGAATTCTTGTGAATGTAAAATAATCTTGTTCCTTTCAATAAATGATCGCCAGACCATGCAGAGTGCCATCAATTGGAGGTTCATGGAGTCTTAGAATGGTGAACTTATTCCCATCTTTACTGCATCAGAAGCTACAAACAACTTCTCAAGTGATCCATATGCATTTTAAAGTTATAGTAAGTTAGTAAAAAATGAACATCATCTTTATTGGCTTTGTTCCCAAACCATAACCTATTCAATATTCTATTTTATACTTTTGTTAGACTTGTACCTCTAGTTTTATTATATAGATGACATTTTCTTTAGTAAAGTTTTTTTTTTTTGGTTGTTTTTTGCTGGTCATGGGGCCTGAACTCTGGGCCTGGGCACTGTCCCTCAGCTCTTCAGCTTAAGAGTAGCACTCTACCACTGGAGCCACAGCATCACTTCCAGCTTTTTCTGCTTACGTGGTGCTGAGGAATTGAACCCAGGGCTGAGCCACCTTCCCAGCCCCAGTAAATGTTTTAAAAAAAAATCTCAGGGACGTTCCTGCCCAGACTGGCTTCAAACTGTCATCCTCTGATCTCAGTCTCCTGGGTATCTAGTACAGTATTACAGGCATTAGCCACCAGTGCCAGGGAACACAGGTTCTTCCTTATTACTATTAACTCTCTGATCACCTAGCCCACCTAAAATGTAGAGGTTACCAATTGGCTAGGAAAGGGATGAGGCAGCTACAAGGTTCAAAGAGGCTTTTTGTTTAATGCAAGATTAGAGAGCTGATATAGATGAAAAGGTCACTGCAGATGGTCAGAGATGATTGTAATGTAGGGAACCTAATCCCATAACTGTCTCTGAGCTGTTGAGGCCAAGCACTCTTAAATTGAAGTGCCTAGCTTATTTGAGACAGAGCAGGATCTAGGCTCTTAGTTACATCTCTAGCTTACTGGATCCAGACTAACAGCTGTAGGTGTTATCAGACAGGTGGAACTGAGCTGAAGTCTTAGTAACAGTGCTTGGCCTGTGGATCCTTGATGCATATACTAGATATGCATATATTAGATAGTTTATCTGTGTCCCAGTGCTAAATATTTCTTTTACATGAGGGAGTTGCCTGGATCCAGTGTTTCTGACTGCTTTCATATATTTGCCAATTGTTTACTGGTTCAAGTAAATGATCAGTTTGTGCCTCATGGTGTGTGAACACCTGGTAATTGTTTACTCTTTTCCTTTTTGATTTTCTATTTAGTTATTCCTGTAGTTATTTAGTTATTCCTGAAAGTGCTGTATATCAAAGCAACATTTATTGCTAAAAATGTTTATATCCCCCTGTATTCTCTAACTTATGGCATGTGTATGAAAACTGGGGACTGAACCCAAATCTCAAATGCCTTAACATACCATCTACACTAAGACACCCTTAGCATATCAATTCTTACTTCAGAATTTTTACAGCAAAATACAGAATTAGCTGGGCACCAGTGGTTCACACCTGTAATCCTAGCTACTCAGGAGTCTGAGATCTGAGGATCGTGGTTCAAACCAGCCCAGACAGGAAAGTCCGTGAGACTCTCATCTCCAATTAACCACCAGAAAACTGGAAGTAGTGTTGTGGCTCAAGTGATAAGAGTGCTAGCCTTGAGCTGAAGGCGCCCAGGCCCAGAGTTCAAGACCTACGACCACCACCACCACCAACAAAACCCCAGAATTGTGAAGAATTTATGAACTGTTAGGTATGCAAATGTTTGTTACATCTTCTTGTCTCTTTTCATCATTATGAAAAGATTTTAATTTTTTTTTTTTTTTGGCCGAATGTGAGGCCTGAACTCTGGGCCTGCGTGCTGTCCCTGAGCTCTTCAGCTCAAGGCAAGTGCTTTACCAGAGTCACATTGCCACTTTTCAGCTTTTTCTGCTTTATGTGGTGCTGAGGAATAGAATCCAGGGCCTCATGCATGCAAGGCAAGCACTCTACCACTGAGCCACCTTTTCAGTCTATTTTGTCTGATAAATTTGGTCACTGCAGTCAACTCTGAATAAGCTTTTTCATTGTTTTCTTATTTTCAGACCTACAGTTTGTCCCTTGTGGACAGCAAAAATTTATTCATTTATTTATTAGCACAAGAGTTTGACTCAAGGCTTTGGGCTTGCTCAGCAGTCTATTCTTTTGATTTTGGGGGATTTTCTGGGTCCAGTCATGGGGCCTGAACTCTGGGCCTGGGTGCTGTCCCTCAGCTCTTCAGCTCAAGGCTAGTGCTCTACCACTTGAGCTACAGCGCCACTTCCGGGTTTTTCTTTTTGTTTATGTGGTGCTGAGGAATTGAACCCAGGGCCTCAGGCATGCAAGGCAAGCGCTCTACCACCTTCCCAGCCCCCAGTCTATCCTTTTGAGTCATACCTCCAGCCCTTTTGAATCTACTTATTTTTGTGCCAGTATTGGGGCATAAGCTCAAGAGCTTCCTAGTGTCCCTTGGCTTCTTCTGCTGAATGCTTGTGGCTTCTGCTGAATACTTGTACTCTACCACTTGAGCCACACTTCTACTTCCTGCTTTGCTTATTTTTGAGAGGGTTTCTCCTTTTGTCTGAGGCTGTCCTGATTGGATTAATGTCATTTTGCCTTTGGGTTTCATGAATCTCCTGTCTTGTTTTTTTCAATTTTGAACTCAGGATGTCATGCTTCTCAGGCAGGACTCTTACTACTTCAGCTATATCTCCAGCTGAAAGCAAACTCTATTGTAGTATTTCAATTTCTTTAATATATGTATATATATACATATATATGCTTTATAGTAATTCCAGTGAAATTTAGAAATGTTATTTCTATACAACTTATGTAATTATACAACTTAATTATTATTACATATGTAATATGTAATACATACATACATACACTTGAGAATGCCCTATTTGCCTTGATTTCTTATTCTGTATTATGTTTTGGTTTGAATTATCTAGTTTTGCTAGATGTTTGGTTGACAGGTAGTTTGATTCCATCTTTGTTGTCCTCTGCCTTGAGGCTTCTGTTTTTAGAGAAGTTAAAATATAGTCCCAATGAGATCACTTGTGGATCCTTAAGTGGGTTTTCCTTTTCTCTCAGTTTTCTATCATTTTCACTATGATAGATTGGGGAATAATACATCTATTACCTTCTTACAATTTGGTAGTCTTCTTACATTTATTTTAAATCTTTTGGTGGAGAGGAATAAAACCTAGGTTAGGTAAGTACACTTCCAGTCCTAATTTTTTTCTTTCTTCTTTACATCTAACATTCCCATTACATAGTTACATCCTTATTTTTCTGGGCACTTAAAAATTATCCTATTCTTTGGCTAATCTTACACTTGTGGATTTTCCTATTGTAAACTTCAAAGCTATTGAAGCCTCTAATAAAATTTCCATTTGGCTCTAAAAAATAATTTCCATCATTATAGTATTTGACTAAATACTTTCATTAGACTCTTACAGTTAGACTCCTGCAGTTTCCTTTAGATATTTTGAACAAATTTATAACAGCACTTTGCTCCTGAGCTCTCTCAAGGCCTTCTTCTCCCTTAAGTTGTCAGCTGGATTGTTTAAACAAAAAGCATTCTGCCTCTAGTGTTCCTACAGCATGGGCATGTGTAGTCTCTCTAGTCTTCCTTCCATCCCCCAGTAATTACTTCCTCTGACCTTCTGTTCTAGCTGGGAAGTGGGGTGGGGTAAGGTTGGCTCAAGTAGCAGAATACCTGTCTAAAACTTCAAGGCTATGAGTTCAACTTCCAATATCATCAATTGAAAATTAAAGGGTTCTAGTTGGTCTGCTTTTATTGGTATTATGTATTTTTTTTAATGTGATAGAGATTGAACCCAAGGTTTGAGTGCTAAGCACAAATTCTACCACTGAAGTACAACATTCCCAGCCCCAACTTGTTTGATCCACTTAAATTCAGATCCATATATGGTATCTTTAACCCTAGGACTCCTGTTAGCTGCCTCTTTCTCATTCTCTGCTCAGCGATCTGTAAGTCTTTTGATCTGTTGCTGTCATGGATCTATAAGTCTTTTGTTTTTAGGGTGGTACTGGGGATTGAATTTAGGATCTTTTGCTTGCTGGCAAATACCCTATCACATCAGCTATGTCCCCACTCCTTCCTTCCTTCATCCCTCCCCCTCCCTTCCTTCCTTGGCCTCAAATTTAGGGCCTGGGCACTGTCCCTGAGCTTCTTTTGCTCAAAACTAGCACTCTTCCACTTGAGCCACAGCGCCACTTCCAGCTTTTTCTGCTTATGTAGTATTGAGGAATTGAACCCAGGGCTTCATGCATGCTAGGCAAGCACTCTACCACTAAGCCACATTCTCAGCCCTTCCTTGATTACTTTTTAATGCATATCTTAAAATACACCCTTTAAATAAAGCAGCATGTTCACAACCTGAAAGATCTTCCTGCTGCCAGGAGGTAATTCACCATCAACATGCAGCATCCACATTAAGTGAGCAGTTCTTTAATAGCTGTTTAAATATTTTCCACCACCGAAGTGCTTATGATTAATTTACAAGTGCAAGGCATTATACAATTAAATGTAAGCTGACTTACTGTGTAAATAATGCTGCTCAAGAATTAGTCCTGGAGTAGTTGGAATTTCTATTTCTAACTCAGTAGATTAAAACATAATTGTGAATGGTATAAAGATGTAAGAATCATATTATGGTAGAAACTGTGAAAAATAGAGAAACCAGACCCTTCCCAAGCAATTTAAAAACTCCAGTTTCCTTCACTTAAACATGGTTTCCCAGACAATAAAGATGACTTTCAATGTATAAAATTCCCAGAATATTAGTATTTGATGATCAGTGTATTGAAATTAATGGAATTTACAAAAACACATTTACATGTAAGCAGATATAAACAGACAATGTGCAATTGAGCTCTAGTCATCATCAGAGTCTGAATCATATTTCTTTCCTTGGATAGTTTTCTTTTCCAGCTTTGTGAAGTTTGCCCCAAATTTCTTTTGGCTCTGAAATGGTGGCTCCATTAAATTTCCACTAAAAACAGAACAAAATTGAAAACCATTTTAAATACACCTAGTATATTAGAATGCAAACAAAAATCTTTTTCATTATAATGTACAGAATATAAACAATTTAAGAAAATTTCTCTAATCATACTAAGAGCTGATAGATCTACATCTTGTTCTTGTATTCTAAATGTTTTAGGCCAATGTTTTATTTTCTCTTTAATCATTAATTGTTGATTCACGTTTTATAGGCTGTGCTAACACAACTTCTGATTGTTAAGAAGAGTGCTTTTTGTTAGTTATGCCTGTGATGAACCCATTAACCCTGACTCCCCCCCACCCTTTTTTTTTTTTTTTTTGCAGTACTGGAGTTCCAACTGTCTTTGGTGTTCTGTTTTTTTTTTTTTTTGGCCTGTCCTTGAGCTTAAACTCAGGGTCTGGACACTATCCTTGAGCCTCTTTATGCTCAAGGCTACCACTCTACCACTAGAGCAACAGCGCCACTTCTGGCTTTCTCTGAGTAGTTTCATGGACTTTGCTGCCCAGGCTGGCTTTGAATGGTGATCCTCAGATCTCAGTCTCCTGAGTATTTAGGATTACAGGCATGAGCCACCATTATCTGGCTATGTTCTGGTTATGTTTGAGATAGGGTCTGACTTTGGCCTGGGCCAGCCTGGACTATGCAGTCTTTATGCTTATGTTTCCATAGGTAGACAAGAGTGTACCACCACATCCAGCCTTTTCTATTTGAGATGACATCTCACATTTTTTGTGTAGACTGGCCTGGAACTCAACCTTTGTGATCTCAGTTTTCCTTGTGAATGAGATGACAGGCTACCATGCCTAGCTATTACTGGTTGATATGAGGTCTCATGAACTTTTGCCCAAGTTGACCTTGAACCACAACCCTCCCAACCCAGGCCTCCCAAATAGTTAGGATAGTAAGTGTGAGCCTGTGTAAGCTTTAACTAAAAGAATAATAGCCAATCCTGCTCTACTTTTGGTAGCTTATTATGATTGATTTGGTGTATTTCCTAATCTTTAGATTTCTACAGACTTTAGCAAAACTTACATAATTGTTATAATCTGGGATTGGAATAAGCATTTTATACCAATATTAATTAAAAATAATTTTTCTTTCAAAAGTGTCTTAGGATTTGGGATCTGGTGGCTGACACCTGTAATCCTAGCAACTCAAGAGGCTGAGATCTGAGGATCATGGTTTACAGCCAGGTTGAGTAGGGAAGTTCATGAGACTTTTATCCCCATTTAACTACCAAAATGACAGAAGTGAAGCTATGGCTCAAGTGATAAGAGTGCTAGCCTTGAGAAAAGAAACAAAAAAGCTTAGGTGGTTAGGGATGTGGCTTAGTGGTAGAGTGCTTGCCTAACATGCAAGAAGCCCTGGGTTCAATTCCTCAGTACCATATAAACAGAAAAAGCTGGAAGTGATGCTGTGACTGAAGTTGGTAGAGTGCTAGTCTTGAGCAAAAGAAGCTCAAGGACAGTGCCCAGGCGCTTAGTTTAGGCCCCTGGACTGGCAAAAACAAAAACCTCAGGGGCCCCAGGACTGGCACACAAAACAGGAAATACCATTTGCTATTAATGGAAACATGGGTCCTTGGAACCAATTACAGGGAGAATACAGTGTAATCCTAAAACATCTTCTTAGGACAAGAAAAAAAAAGTGGCTTAGATAATTATGGTGACATGTTATAAGGACTCATAAGCTAATATGAAAGAGAAGTTTTCACTGACCAACTCTGAGCTGGAAAGTAAATCACAATAGTAATAAAACAATTCACAGGCTAAATGTATTAATAACACTAAATGAAAAAGTAAATAAATGTAGGAGATGAGAAAATTTCAATACATTAACCTCTTCCCTACTATGCCAAATGGTAAATCTTGTGCTTGTTTGTCTAGCTTATTTCTGCTAACACCAGAAATAAGACAACTACCGCACACTTGGTATGATGGAAGAGCCCAACACCACTCCTCTAATGTAATTAACAATGATGTGTGATCAGAAGCTAATTTTGAGGATGCAATGCAAAACTTGAACTGTGGATAGTGATTCTACAGAAGAACTATCTTATAAGCTAACTTGCTTATCATACTCAAAACCTCAAAACCCACAAAACATTGGATTGAGAACTGGTAACAAATTGTTGAAGAATAGAAAATTTTTTAACTGACACGTTTGGGTATTGAGTGATGACACATTTGAGTAAGGTTTGTAAATTGAGTAATTCTTGCTTTGATAATTGCACTCTGGCTATGTAAGAGAATGTCTATATTCTTAGGAAATACATAAGGAATCCTTTTATTCAGGAATAAAAGGATATAGTATTTCTAACATCTACTCAAATGCTTCTGAGGAAAAAAATATATAAAGGATAAGTGAGAATCTCTTGTGCTAGTATGCAACATTTGGATCCTATTTTCCATAATGTATACTAAGTACAGAAATCTCTACATGTGAGATAGGGCTATATATATTAAAATTTAATGTTTTAAAGTAAGCTTCGGGCTGGGATGCATTTCAGTCATATAGCACTTGCCTAGCATGTGTGTACGAAGCCTCGGCGGTTCAATCCCCAGCACAATACCACAAAATAAAACACAAAAACTCTAAGACTCAGGTTTGTCTATAAATCTGAATTTGCTGCAATATCATGCTAATATATAATTTAAGAAATACAATTTTCTTAAAGTGTGGTGGCACATGTCTGTAATCCCAGCCCTTAGGAGGGCAGAGACAAGAGGATTTTGAGTTCATGAACAGGCTGGACTACACAGTAAGACTCATCAAAACACAATAAACACAAAACAAGATTAAAGAAAATAAAAATTGCTTCCTGATAAAACTACAAGTTTTAATATCATAAATGTTAATAATATATGAAAATCCTCTGTAAAATGATCAACTAGATAGGATTTAAAATTAACTTGATGCTAAAAGTTACCTGTAATTAAGAATATCAGAACAGCCAAGTCTCCATTCTAAAGTTTCTGTGGTGAAGTCATCTGTATTTCCTAGGTCAGTAAATCCAACAACATAATCTTGTGTCTTCCCGTCTTTTATGAGTGCTAGTGTGGGAAGGACTTTGATACGCAGTCTCTCACAAAGGAAAGGTGCTTTTTCCACATTCAGCTTCAAAAATTTGGTCTCAAGATGTTTCTTAGAAAGTATCACCAAATGTCTGTCTAGTATTTTGCACCTGTAACAACATCAAAAAGTTAAAATGTAAGGCAACAGATTTCTCTTTAAAAAATCAGCACCACTATCCTGGTGCTAGTGGCTCATGCCTGTAATCCTAGCTACTCAGGAGGCTGACATCTGACAACTCCAATTGGAAGCCTGGTGGAAAAGAAAAGTTCTTAAGATTCTATTTCCAATTCTATTTCCAAAAAGATGCAAGTAGAGCTGTGGCTCAAGTGGTAGAGCAGTAGCCTTAAGCAAAAAAGAGCTTAGGGACAGCACCCCTGAGTTCAAGCCCCAGGACTAGCACCTCAAACAAAAATATCACTAAACACCTGATTTCAGTTTTTCTGTATACGTCTAACTAGGTGGCAGCCAATCTATGCTATGTCAGATGACCTAATTTCCAGGTTAACTGCAAGATGACTGTCCAAAGACAAATGAGCATTCTAAAAAGTCAGATTTTCCCTAATGAGATTTAAAAAAAATGCTTTTAAGTAATAAAGATGTTGTCAAACTTTTAATATTTATGGAAAGAGCAAAACATCAAGATACTGTTTTCCTTATGTATGTTTCTTGGCATCTCATTTAGGAAAACTTAAAAAAAACTTTGTGTGTATATTTTTGTTAATCCTGGAGTTTAAACTCAGGGCCTGGGCACTGTCCTTGAGCTGAACTTCTCTGCTCAGGGCTAGTGCTCTACCACTTGAATTATAGCTCTACTTTTTGATGGTTAATTGGAGATAGAAGTTTCATGGACTTTTCTGTCCTGGCTGGTTTCAGGTATGAGCCACTAATGCCTGGCAGGGCAGTTAAACAAAACACTTGTTAGTGGGCTTGCTCTTTCTTGGAATGTTGAACCTATCAGGCAGGAAACCTGTCCTTCTAGACTCCTTGGGAAAGACAGAGGAGAGGAAGAGGAATGGGAAGGGTGAAAGATGGGAAGAGGAATAGAGTCTTGCCACTATCTCCTAGACAGAGATCTAAGGATTGAGACAGCTTAGGCAGGAAATTCTGTGAGAAATCATCTCCAGTTAACGACCAAAAGCTATAAACATTGCTGTGGCTCAAGTGGCAGAGCACTAGCCTTGAGTGAAAAAGATTAATTACTGACAGACACACATATACACACAAACAACAACAAAAAAAACCCACTTATTTAACTTTAACATGTGGTATAGAACTTAAAATATGTATGAGATTACCAGAAGACAAATTGAGAAGTTGTTCCTTTTAGTTTCCAGTAGTATATATTTATCCAAATTTTGTTTTTAAGAGAACAAAGTTACCTGAATGTAGAGTCTCTGTAGAAATGGCAAACTACTTTTTTACTCTCTTTGACTTCTTGAAAAAAGTCTCTCTCACTAGGGATTTCTCTGTATTCACCATGTCCTTTAGAAAGCCATTCCTAATTTGGAGAGAAGCAAAATATTGTATATGAAAAATCTTTTAGCACCAATTGATATTTTAAATGTCCCAATCACCATATTATTTTATAACAAAGTTGATATCCTATAGAGAAATGAGTTCATTTTAGTAGCTTTCCCGTTTCTGGTGTCCAAGAGTTAACTAGTCCATGGGCAGTGAGAATATCCCCACAGCCTGAACTGAGACAACTGTTTCAGTAATTTAAAACACTTGTTTTCTCAGAATATCAAAGTAGTTAGACTTGTGAGACTCAGCATCAAATTGCAATTTTGTGTGTGTGTTATTAACTACTAAAGTTAGAAACATTTGTTGTAAGTTATGTTTCTTTTTGAAAAGTTTTTCTTTTTAATTTTGTTTTTTTTGCATTGTTGGGAGACAGAACACAGAGCTTTTAGCATCCAAGTGCTCTACCATTCAGCCACACCCCTAGATCTACCCTTAAAAAAAAGTTCGGGGGTTGGTGGCATAGCTTTGTTGGCAGAGCATTAGACAATGAGGAAAAGCATCAGGTACTGAGTTCAAGTCCCAGTCTTGGACCTAAAAAAAGGAAAGAAAAAAATGTTTGTACTTGAGGTGTGGTTCAGCTGTTGAGTACAGAGCCATGAGTTCAAACCCTAGCATGCTAAATAAGAGAAAGTTCCAACCACAGAAAAATCCAACCACTCAACCAACTAACCAAAAAACCTCACCGGCTAAGTCAGTCTTGGGTACAGGGAGTTACTGTAGTTGAGAAGCTAGGGAGTTCTCTTTGCTTCTGATGAGCACCTCAGAGAAGCAGGTATACATACCTTCCATACTAACAAAGGGAAGTGTCCTAAGAGAAAAAGTAGTTCACTCACATGGTATCCAGAATCAATGCAGATCTCCCATTGAGTCCATCTGCCCTTAACAACCAAGCCCGAGAGACCTCCCAGCTTCTTGAACCCTGCTTGTGGCAGGAAGCTTATCTCCTCAACTGGAAATGCTAACCTTTCAGGCAGGTGGTTTTAATAAAAAGGAGCACTAGGCTTATAGGTCAGAGATACAAGTTTCAATTAAACTTCTAAGTACTTTTTTAGAAATGTCTTTTGACAGTTGGGTACTGATGGCCTACACATCTTGGGATGTGGAGAGTAGGACTGTAGTTCAAGGCCAGCCAGGACAAAAATTCATGAGACCCTCATCTCAATAAAAAAGAAAAGGCTGTGTGTAATGACATGACTTGTCATCCCAGCTATATAAGAATCAGCTAGGTGCTGGTGGCTCACCCCCGTAATACTATCTATATAGGAGGCTGAGATCTGAGGATCACTGTTCAAAGCCAGCCTGAGCAGGAAAGTCCATGAGACACTTACCTCTAAGTAACCTCAAAAAGCTGGAAGTGGAGCTGTGGCTCAAGTAGTAGAAAACTAGCCTTGAAAGAAAACGCTTAGGGAGAGAACCCAGGCCCTGAGTTCAAGGACCAGGATCAGGACCAGAGCTGGGGAAGAGAGGGGTAGGATGGGGGGTGGGGCAGAGGGAGAAAGGGATGAAAAAGGATTAAGGTCCAAGTCAGTGTAGGCAAAAAGTGAGCTCCTATCTCAAAAATAACCACAGCAAAAAGGGCTAAAAGGGTGGCTCAAGTGTTAAAGTGCCTGCCTGGCACGCTCAAAGCCTTGAGTTGTTTTTTGTTTGTTTTTTAAAAAAGGAAAAAAAAAAGGCTCTAACACTGAACTGCAATATAGATCCACAACTTTTATCTATGGATTCAGCTTGGACAAAGTTTAGAGAGAAAAATATTTTTTAGTCTTTTTTCACACCAGCCACTCAAGTCTCACAACTTGTCTGTTTCTCCTAATGAATTTTCTTGAACAAATTTCTAACAAGAATACTTAAAATCACAAAATTCTAAAAATGAGGAGCGGGCCTGGGAAGGTGGCTCAGTGGTAGAGCGCTTGCCTTGCATGCCTGAGGCCCTGGGTTCGATTCCTCAGCACCACCTAAGCAAAAAAGAAAAAAGCCGGAAGTGGTGCTGCGGCTGTAGTGGTAGAGCGCTAGCCTTGAGCTTAAGAGCTGAGGGACAGCGCCCAGGCCCAGGGTTCAGGCCCCACGACCGGACCAACAAATAAATAAAAAATAAAAATAAAAATGAGGAGTCAAATGTAATCATTACAGCACACATAGATATAAGTTGTTAGGAGCATACTGTTATAGCAATTTCAGAAAGCAGGGCAGAGAGGTTACTTGTTTCTGCTGTTGAGCTTTCCTTAGTGCCGCAAGTCTATTTTCTTTGAGGCGCTCCAATTCATCTTCATCCATCTGATCCAGTTTCTTAATTTCAGAATCCAAATGATCTTCTACCAGTTTGGTAGTTTGAAGCAACTGGTTTTCCAGGACTTTTGAAAACATGTCGACAGATGCATCACCTTCCATTCTTCTAAATGGTACTCGTCAGCCTTGGTACTAAGTTTAAAAAAAAAAAAAAAAAAGGCAAATAACACGAAAAATCTTTCATTTAAAAATTTTCTTTTTCGGCTGGGAAGGTGGCTCAGTGGTAGAGCGCTTGCCTTGCATACATGAGGCCCTGGGTTCGATTCCTCAGTACCACATAAGCAAAAAGAAAAAAGCCGGAAGTGAAGCTGTGGCTCAAGTGGTAGAGCACTAGCCTTGAGCTGAAGAGCTGAGGGACAGCGCCTAGGCCCAGAGTTCAGGCCCCACGACCGGACCCCCAAAAAAAAAAAAAAAAAAAATTTTCTTTTTCACTTAAAGATTCCAGTAACTGGGCATTTACTAACTCCCAAACACACACTGCTAGGCTTAAGAATTTATATATATATATATATATATATATATATATAGAGAGAGAGAGAGAGAGAGAGAGAGAGAGAGAGAGAGAGACCCATAGTGCTTATGCATGAAGATGGCATTAAAAAAAACCCTCAGTGTTAAAATAAGGAGGTGAATAGATGAGGAAAGAGCAATAGAGGGGAATTATTCTGATCAAAATAAAATACATGTATGGGCTAAACTGCATGGTTGAAAACCTTGGTACAATGAATATCTGCTAAAAATGGATGACAAAAGAGGAAAAAAATAGGGTTTGTTGGAATGGGTGAATAGGGAGGATGAAGTACTTTATCTATATATTAGAAAAAGCTGGGTACTGAGGGCTCTTGCTTAATATTTTGCTAATCAGAAGGCTGAGGATGAGGTTCAATGCAAGCCCTGGCAGAAAAGTCTGAGTCTTATCTTCAGTAAATCAGTGAAAAGCTAGAAGTGGAAACAGAAAACAAACAAAAAGCTAGAACTAGAAGTGTGACTAAAGTGGAAAAGTAGCAGCCTTGAGTAGTAAAAATCAAGTGATAGCCTGAGGTCCTGGATTCAAGCCCCCAGTATAGGTACAAAATAAATATATGAGAGGATATAAAGCAAAGTGATTGCTGAATGAAGTTGATGGGGTACACTGTATGTATGTATGGAAATGTCAAAATAAAACACCTTTATACAACTATGCAAAAGAATAAAAAAATCTTAAAAAAAAGAAAGAAGCCAAGTGTGGTGGCCTATGGGGAGGCTGAGGCAGGAGGACTTCTAGTGCAAAGCCAGCTTGGGTTTATATAAGTGAAACTGTTAACAAGCCAATAGCCAAGGAAAGAAAATAGTAACAAAAAGTTTTACTTAAATGCTTTTAAGTTTAGATACATAAAAACTGCAGAAAAGTTAGTTTTATTTAACTGAAACAAGATTGTGACATATTTCCAGGTAACTTAAATAAATGGAAATGCCTTTAAATCAAAATTCAATTGAGAACTGAAATGAACCTACTTAGAGCAAATTTCAGGCTTTTTTTTTTTTTTTAAGACCATTATCAGACCACACAGAAATCAGCTGAAGAGATGAACTGGCAATCAGTGTTTACAAAAGGAAAAGAAAAGCAGAAATATCTGTGAAGACTACTATTGAGTAGTAGTAGTAAGATCACAAACTCAGCTTTTACATATACAAAAACATAGGCTGGGTGCTGGTGGCTTATGCCTATAATCCTAGCTACTCAGGAGGCTGAGATCTGAGGACCATGGTTCAAAGCCAGCCTGGGCAGGAAAGTTCCTGAAACTCTTATCTCCAATTAACCACCAGGAAACCGGAAGTGGTGCTGTGGCTCAAGTGGTAGATCATTTGTCTTGAGCTGAGGAGCTCAGGGACAAGGCCCAGGCCCATAGTTCAAACCCCATGACTGACAAACCCCAAAACAAAAACATATTAAGATGTGCTCCAACATTGAGCAGACTTGAGCAAAAATACGCTTTTTCATGGTTACTCTCCTAAGGAAGTTCATTTCTCTCAAGACATTTCATAATTTTTGTAAAGACTACTGCCTGGTCGTCTATAAGCATTAGTATCCATGCCTAATCTATTATGCAACAAAATCCAATCCTCAAAAATTAATACTGACTTCAATTAACTGACATTTAATGTTTTCTGTGATACAAAACAATATAGTATTTACTATTTTCTTAAATGTTGATTTTTTTCTGCCCAATCAACTCATTGTGTAAAGTTTTAACACAAAGCTGAAGTTGTATCAATTATATATTGCAAAATAGATGACGTATTTTCTACTAGTAACAGACCAATTCTTTATGTCTGGGTTATTACCAAAGATGATCTACAGTTTGTCAATTAATACATAACCAAAATATACTAGAAAACACTACTGAAGTATCTAAAAACCAAAATGAACTGTGAATTTATTTACTAAGCTTCTGATACTGATCTTGGTCCACCTGTGGCCCTCTATAAATGTTGAACTGAGCTTTTGCAACCTTCACTTTTCAGCTTTTTCTTCACAGAAAAAACAGCTGAAAAACATTCTTGATTTCACTTTCATACACCTGAAGTTAGCAGTGCACAGATCACAGCAGATACTTAATATTTGAATATTTTCAATGCATTCAATTTATTGTTGAATGTACATGTGCCTAGCTTTTGCTCAAAACATATTTGAGGTTAAAAAAATCAAATGAGTAACTCCTTATAAATAATACAATTGAACACTATTTTGAATGTAACAAAATACTTCCACTCCCTGCCTCCCCCCAAAAATGTAAGATCGTGAGTCTAAGGGTAGGACTAGGGGAAGGAAAACAAAAGATATCCCTTGTTCATCAGAACTTATTACTAGGGCCACAGCAGATGCTGATCACAAGACATACTTAAACTTCAATTATCTGCTAAAGGAGAACAGAAACCATAAAGAGCTTTGCTAAGTGAAGGTGCGGAGGTCTCAACCTCTTGAAAATGTTAAAGAAGTGGTGTAATGGTTGCTAACTTTTCATTCTTCAAGTCAAAGTCTCTATTGTTCCTTTTAAGGTTAACTGGAATGGTGGAAAGAGATACTGAGGCCTGAAATTTCTCCTTCTCCTCCTCCCCCGTCTCTCTTTTTGTCTGGGTACTGAAGCTTGATTTCAGGGCCTGGGCAATGATTAATTGGAAATAAGTCTCCCAGACTTTCCTGACCAGGATGGCTTTGAACCGCGATCCTCTCTGAATTTAGCCTCTAGAGTAGCAAGGATTACAGTACTGAGCCTACGGCGTCCGGCTATCTTTAATTTTTTTAAAGCCAGGCACCAGACAAAACTACCAAAAGCTCGCTTTTAACAGTCCTGCTGTACCTTTCCAACAGTCTCCTTTGCCACTCCCAGAGCCCGGGGACAGATAAGGGCAATTCAGAGGCAGCGACTTCGGCGACTTCGGGAGCGCATGCGCTAGGGCCACTGCCACCGCTTGGACCCCAGCGTCCGGCCGCGCCCCTCCTCCCAACCCAACTGGATGTGCAGCTGTGATGTGCCCAACAGCATTGAGAGGACGCGGTGGCCAGATCTGTCACAGCATTCCTTGTCTCACCTGAGCTCTAGGTGTCCAGGGAGTGAGGGGGCAGCAGCTCCAGAAGGCCGGTCCTTTCACTTTGCAGCTGACGTCGCGGACTACGAATGGGCCGTCACCTCTGCTTTATCATTGGCTGCAGCCCTCTCGCGATATCTGAGATGCTCGCGGAAGGCATGGTCATCTGTGAAGCGAGAGCTTTTGCGCGTGCGCCACGCTCCTTAGCTAGTCGGAACTCAAGGATTTCAATTCAGTTCTCTCGGGGTAAATGGCTCTAGGGAAAGAGAGCGAAGTATTCTGGGAGTTGTAGTTTTTTTTTAAAATTCAGGCTAGAGTGGCTTAAAAAAAAGTCAGTACTATGAAGTTACACCAGAAATAAAATAGCTACGATTTTGTTAAGGGTTAACAATCGAACTTCATTGTGTTTAGTGATCTTTTCTATTTTTTATAAAATTGAGCGATAACTTCATTTTTTAAATATAGTTCACCCATAATACCACTGCTCATATTCGTATTCACAGAACATTTTCACTGTTCCAAGAGCTTCCGTCCGTCCTTCTAACACGCTAATTTTTAGAAGCTACTCTTGTTTTGAATGTAAAGATTAAGACTCATATGAGGGCACCGGTAGATAGGTAGGTCCTTGAATTTTTCCGTCGGTAACTGCACATCATTTTTAATCCATGGATGTGCTTGAGCAGTCCCAATTTTTGTCTTGGGTTTAAAATCCCTCGGAAATTTCCCAGGGCTCAACATTGGTTCATTGTTGTTCTTTAGGGAATTTCGTGCAGCTAAGAATACATGGACATAAAAGCAGGCAAAGACCCACTTTTGAAGCCGGTGCCAGTTCCTCACGCCTAAATCACCCCGCGGGGAGGGTGCTGACGTGGGAAATGCAAACGTGGGGAATGAACAGTCTCATTGTCCGCCACTTGGTTCTAGAATGTGGAAACCACGCGGTGTCGTTGCGCGGCGAACACTGGCAGGCAGGGGGCGCTCAGGATCCTGCCGGGCTGGCGGGTCAACCGGAGACGCTCTACCTGAAGCGCCGCTCTCGATGAGCCGCGTCCTGCGTCCTCACGCTGAGGCGGCAGGGCGATGCGCTTGCGCATTGAAGGCTCACACCATATGTGCCCCGTCCCTGTGCGCGCGTCTGTCGAGAGCCGGGTGCGAGAGGCGGCAGCGCGAGTGGGGACGGAGTCGAGCGGAGACCGAAGTCCGCGGGGAAACAGTGGGTCTGTGAGAAACCGAACCGAGGGCTGGGGCCGCGACTGCCGCTGACAGACGATGGGGAAGAAACAGAAAAACAAGAGCGAAGACAGGTAGGCTGTGGCTGGTGGGTCCGGCAGCAGCCGCCGCGGCTCCGTGAGGCGCGCGGGTCTGCCGCGCGCGAGGTTGGGCTGCGGTCGAGGCTCGCGGGCTGCTGGGACGCGGCCGGGAGTGGGCGGCGCGGGTCCGAGACCCCGGGCCAGGCGGACACGGTGGGCCTCATTTCCTCTAGCCGTGCGTCAGTCCTGTAAGCTGCCGGGTCGCCGGCTCTGGCCGGGGGAGGTTCCAGGCCTCGGAGCCCGGGCAGCGGGGCAGTTGTTTGAGGTACCCGGCCGCGCGGGGAGGGTCTGGGTCGGCTTTCCTTGCCCAGGTGGTGGGTGGGAGTTGGGTATTCGGCTCTTGTTATGCTTTGGTACCCCGTGAATCCTGGGGGGGGGAGGGAGTAGGGAATCCGAAGCTGACGTACGTGCCGTCGATTGGGTGGTGGTGGTGGTGGTGGTCGCTGCTCCTGAACCTGCTCAGGAATGGAGAAGTGAGGAGCGAGAGTTTTAGCTGTTCGCTCTCGGTCGAATGCGGGCACGCTATCTCAGATCCGTCTAGATGATGATTGTCCAGGCTCCATGCTTTTTTTCCCCCCCTCTTTCCTTCTTCCGGCCTTTTTGGTCATTTCTTTGCTCTCTAGCACCTCCCCTAAGGAAAGGAGAAGGTGAAACAAAACCAACCCCGGGTCGCGGCTTTCCAACGACTTCAAAGTCTGTGGGGAGCGAGGGAGTGCGAGGGTGTCCGGAAGTTACTCACCCAGAGGTTTTTGGAACGTTCCTGAGCGTCGCATTCAATTAACATTCTTTTTCGGCTTTTTCATAAAGAGTTTTACTTCGTGGGAACAGGTTGCCATCTGTTAGTTTATCCATGCTGTGCTACTCGCCAGACCTAGTTTAAATGGTAAGAGGGGAGTGTAAGGTAAACGTAAGAGCAGAGCCAGTCTGTGCTATTTCGTCGTCTTCACGAAAAACACCGTGGGTGGTTTTTGAAGTTAAAATAAGATTTGTCAGTTGGAATCTTGAATCGTGTACGCTCACCTAGAACTTGCGTAGCAAATGAATGGAATGAGAAGGCCCCAGACTCTTCGTATTTCACTTTTAGGTTTAGATCTTTGGGAGGAAGATAACTGGTTTGGAGAATAGAATTTGGTAAGTAAAAAATGGGGGACAAAAGCAGAAATTGGGTAGTTTAATGAAACACAAATTTATGCATGTTTGACAGAAAAGTTTTTTGATATGTAGATGGTATTTGTTTCCTTGCTGAGAAGAATTTTCAGCTGTGTATAAAATGTAGACAAACAAATACAATAAAGCCTTGTGTATCACTTACCTGTCTTCAGCCATTATAAGCACATGACCAGCCCTAATCATCCACCTGTTGAATATTTGAAACTCTGAAGCTATTCTCAGAGGTCTTTCACCTGCAAATCCGTCAGGAATAATCTGAGTAATGGGGGCAACTGGGCACTGTTTGCTCACGCCTGTAATCCTAGCTGCTCAGGAGGCTGAGATTTGAGGATCATGGTTAGAAGTCATCATGGACAGGAAAGGCTGTGAGAATCTTATCTCCAATTAATCACCTAAAACCCAGAACTAGAGCTGTGCCTCTAAGTGGTAGAATGCTAGCCTTGAGCAAAGAAGCTCAGAGACAGCACCCAGACCCTGAGTTAAAACCCCATGACCAACATAAAAAAGGGGGAGGGGGATAACCCACAAGCCCACCACAGAAGCATAAGGGTACAATCAAAATGTCACCATCAAGCCTAAGTGGTTTTATAAATATCCAATATACAGTCAGCATTTTAATTTTCCTGATTGTCTTAGTTTTTTTTCAATTCATTTGTTTGGTTCAGGATTACACTATATATTTATATTATTCTACTTTCAGTGCTCTTTCACAGTGGAAAAAAAGCTATTTTGAGAGGAGACATTTTGTAGTTTTAGTGAAAAGTAACCTTCCTCTTAAGATTCATAAAAATAATTTCATGGATCACGTAAAAGTTGGAATTTGTTATTAAGTGATTGGTTTGGTGTAGTATAGGTGTTGCTTCCTCCACTAACCTATAGTCTTTTTTTTTTTTTTGGCTCATTTTGAAGGGAAAGTGCAGCAGTGTAATTTGAAAACATTTTCTCATATGCCAATATAAAGTATGTGTTATTGTTTTGTAGACTCCTATGCTTGAGCCTTTAAAATTGTACCAAGAATTTCTGAGATTTTGCAGGAGGGCTCATTGTGACCAGAATTGCTTTGTGTTTTGTTGTTGGTTTTTACTTTGGTGTTCTACATGAGATGCTGAAAGGTGGGAAAGTTACTTTGCTTTTTTTCCCTGTTGTTTAAGTAGCACTTTCTTCAAGGATATTTTGAATAATTTTTTTAAAAGACAATGCAGACTGGGAAGAAGGAGTGCAAAGTTCCCTTATTATTTGTGTAACATAAATATGGTCAAACTTTTTTTTTAAATTTAAGATCCCTAGTTTAAGGATTTTTCTGTCATTCCCCTCTCCCAGGCTATTCTCAGCCAGACGAATTTCTGGCCTGATGGCACTGGGTAAGAAATAAGTAGCTGCTTATTATCAAGGAAGGTATGGATGGACCATTTTTCACTTCTTGGAAGAAGTATAAAATACTTGCCTCTTTTTTTCTTTTTTTCCTTCTTTAGGTACTGGGACTTGACCTTCTGACCAATACTAGCCTTCATGTCTCGCTTGCTTGCTTTTCTTTTGCTCACAGCTAATGCGTTACTACTGGAGCCACACCTCCACTTCTGGCTTTTTTTTTTTTTTTTTTTTTTTTGGTTAATTGGAGATAAGTGTTTCTTGGATTTTTCTGCCTAGTTTAGAACCTGAATCCTCAGATCTTAGCCTCGCAAATTGCTAGGATTATAGATGTGAGCCATCAAGTGCCCTGCTGCTTGACTGTTCTTATTCCTTATGTATTATCCTTATTTTAAGTTCTACCTGACATGGATTTCTGATTAGATTTTACTATCTAATTTTATTTGTATAACACATACTTGTTTCTTATCAAAATATTTTGTCTTAGTTTTGAATTTTAGAAATTTGTTTGAAGATCAAGTTCAAGAACTCTACCCCAGTTCGTGTAATTGTGAAAATGAGATTTCCCATGGGGTGTTACACAGGTTTTTCTTTCTTTTTCTTTTTTTTTTTTTCCCTTGACTGAAGAAACTTTATGGGACAAAGGATAGGGTTTAAAATATACAGATGGAACAAAAGATAGGGAAGGATTTCCATTTATCCTGTAACCTTCTCAGTCATCAGTTTGCATAATGAGACTATACCAGATTTTGTGTGCTCAGTAATGTCCTATTGTTACTGTTTACACTAGTTATTAGTCATCAATTAAAAAATTACTTAAAGGTGGTAAAGCAAGTTACCCTTGATGAAATCAACCTCCCTAAGCCAAACAAACCACTCAGACCCCTTCTGAGGGAAGGAAGGTAACTTTTTCCACTTATCTCTTAGTCAGCTATCATTGAGGTGAGGATGTCTTTCAGAACTAGGCATTCATGATTCAGTAGTATTCTGGATGCATTCAGTGTTAGATTATTTGTTGGTAGGGTTCTGTTCTCTATACCAGTAGTGAGCTACTACAGTTACTGTTCTTTGCTTTTAACTACAAATAATACTGTTATTACTGACAAACTCCTGTGGGGATTCTGATTGTCTGAGGTAGGTAGCAGCTTTGCCCCTTAGATGACTATCTTAGTGTCAGACATTTATCCTAGTAGATCATATGTGATAAAGATAGCCAGGTCTCTCTTGATAGAAAACATGGTGATCTGTTTAAGAAAGCAGTTCCAGAAGAACCTATGACTATAGTAGGTCCTACAAGAATTGCCCCAAAGGGAACAATTTACATTGAAAATACATAATGAATATCCCTAATTGGAAAAATCTGAAACCCATAAATGCTCTAATGTCCAAAACTCTTTAAACACCAATATTGTGACACACCTGATCTCACGTGATGGGTCATAGTCAACACTCAGGTGATCCAAAAATATTGTATAAAATTACCTCCATGCTCTGGGTATATGTTTCAGTTAGAGTTCTATACCTCAAATATCTTATTGTGTATATGGCAAGTGAAATCTGAAAAAATAACGTCTTAAAAGCATTTAGGATGAGGGAGACTCAACTGGAAGTTAATATGGTCTAGGTTTAACAAAGGAATTCATTTTTATTTGCATATATTTGAATAACTTAAAACACATATTTGCATAAATTAGGTTTTAAAAAATGTCCAGTCTGAAAGTTCTCATGGTTTATGTTGTTCCCATATCAATACTTAATGAACTTGATGGGAAGAAGTCTTAGTTCCATGGTATACGTAAATAAGAAAATAGACTCTGATAGATGTTAGTCTTAGTCTTTGGGCTACTTTAAGAACTGCTATTTTACAGATTTCAAAACTAGATTTAACATTTGTGAGACATTTATCAGCTATTTGGGCTAATTTAAGAACTGCTGTTTTACAGATTTCAAAACTAGATTTAACATTTGTGAGACATTTATCAGCTATTTGACCATCATTAATGTTTGTCCTGTGCGTAATTAGTATGCTTGAGAATTACGTAAGGGCAACATAAGACATTGGTGGAACTTTTTTTTTTTTTTTTTTTTTTTTTGCCATATTGAGGTTGATACTTGTTAGGCTGGTGCTCTATTACTTTAGCAATGCTTTCAGTCCTTGCTCTGGTTGTTTTTGGCAGTATTGAGGTTTGAGCTCCGAACTTCACATTTGCTAGGCATATGCTCTTAATGCTGAGTTATACCTCATGCCCTACTCTGAGCAGTATGTGCTTTGTTTTCTTGTTGGTCTTATCCATGTTGGGCAACAAGATCTGGCCCTTGAATCTTCTCTACACCCTGCCATGGCAGGGTGGAACTTCTGGCAGGTGGAACTTCTTGGTCTTCTTTTTCAAAGGACGGAGAATGGCATCCGTCTCCATAGGTAGCAGTGAGGAAGAAGAGTGATATTTATATTTAAC